TTCTCCTTCCTTTGTCTGCTTCTTTCAGTGTTAATGCCTCAACATTTAATGTAAGTAATATAAAAGTAGATGTAGCTTATAGTCTTACTTTCCCTAAATGGTTCCGCATCAACATGAATGAAATTATTATCCATGCTGCCAGCGTCATTTTAACACACGACAAAGATTCCGCACTAAGTAGGAACATATCTATTCAGCAAAAGAGAAACACAAAATGCTGCTAGTGCATCCAGTTTGACTCGCAATCATAATATACTGTTAATATTTTTTATGATAGCACCAAAGACATCGAAAACACTCCTGAATACAAGGTCTTTCCTAAGCTCTTCAAAAGATTCATTTCTTAACTGAAGCAATACTAAACACACCATCTGAAATTACAATAGCCTTCATATAACATAATACTCAGAAACATATAAATTATATAAAAAAGTCTTCGTGTGCCCTCAGTAAAATATTTCATCTCTTCTAACTTAAGGTCTACTCAGTTTTCTGTGCATATCCAGCACCCACCAGTTTCAATACTTCCTCCAACTTAACATACCAATCTCAACCACTTCCTCCACCTGAGGTATTTAGTTTAAAATATCCAAAAGCAAAGCAAGATACTCCTAGAGCTACCTACCTATAAAATTTAATCTCATCTCAAATTGTCCTTGGTACTGGACTACAAAAATAAGAAGGTATTTACTAAAAACTGTGGTACAGCTGAATATACCAAGTGCGCTGACAAGTAAAGAGACAAACACGGTTTGTCCATGCTTACACATAAAAATGCATAAGCAAAGCATAAAAAGTAACAGCATTTTGCTTCAACAGGAATTTTATACTGATATTGAAGATTTCAGCAATAAAGGGCTTAAACTATTGCCTCAGTACATACCATTTCTCTTTTCCATATGGAATACTTGCTAATATTATGGCATGTATTTCAATCAGCCAAACCGAACAGTCTACTCTTGCATAACGCAGGTGTTATTTGCTAACTCTGTGCTACTGTACTATCAGAAAACATTTAATTTAATCATGTCCAAGGTTTTGTTGGATTCCTAAAGAAAAGAGTGCAGCAAAATGAAGATTTAAACAAACTTCACATTTATTCCTTACCTCTCCAGCCATTGGTCTAAATGTCTACATTGATATTCATCAAACACCAAAGAATCTGAATCATTCCAGCTTCTACATTCCTGTTCTTGATGCCAGTAGCCTGGATGTTGCACAGAACTAGAAAGTAAGAATTTTAATCAGAAATCAAGTCACTGAACATTGCCTGTACAAAACAAAATACGGACAATCTGAGTATCATCATTTATAGTTACAAAATGCTCATTTGGCATAGATAAATGATTTGCATCAACTTATTTAGGCAACACTAATTTAACAAAGGCGTCAGACAATGCAATTGCTGAGAAAAGGCCTTTGGCTAATGCAATTGAGACATCAGAATTTTAAAATAAACAGTTAATATTTAGATAATAAAAATATATCCTTTCTCTATTTGGAAAAAAAAGGGGGAAAATAATCTCAACTGAGGACTGTCACCAGTGCTTATGGAACTGCTGAAGCATGGCAACATTCACAGATCCTCTGTCAGCAATGCATTATTTAGCATTTATATACCATTCTACCCAGCACTAAACTCCTGGAAGAGGCAAATACAGAAACATCACTTCAACACAGGAAAACAGCATGTCTAAGGAGAAGTAAGTCAAACGTTTACATGGAAACAATTTTACACAGGAAATTCTTTACCAGACACTGCTGCGGGGTCCTCACAAGTAAGCATGAGACAAGGAGCTAGAGTGGGGCCTTGCAACATGCTGGAAGGACAGCCAAAGATTTCTTAAGGATTAAGAAATATCTACAGTTTCCTCCTCAGTTCTGGCAGCTTTGACATCTTCAATGATAGGTTACTAAACAAAACACCGTCACAGTGTCTACTGACATCTGACCTAGCTTCCAGGCTAAGGACCACACCTGCGGATCTGCCACCACCTGCCTGAGAGAATGACCTTATATTGCAGACTCCACACAGTAAACATATGTTGTTCTGTATGTGTGAGTAAACAAACATACTGTTCTGTATCTGCGAGGACTCTGCACTTTTTAAGTCAACAAGTGAGAGGGAAGGAAGGTTTATGTTATTTTAATCCTGGATTAACAACCTATGTTTTCTTTCCCTTCCACCCTGACTAGCTTTGGGAGTTTCCTGCTCAAAGTTACTAACAGACAGAACAAACAGCTCACTCCTAACCACAGATCTAGGCAAAAGGACACTTTCAACACATTCGTTTCTTGCAAAGGCACTGAACGGATAAAACCTTTCTCTAACCACCGTCAACAATAATTAATTGAAAGACTTGAAAGAAACGGGGGGTGAGGTTGAGGAGGCGGCACAACACCTAGCACGCCTTAGGTACAACACTATTTGAAATTCTAGATGGAAAATGCTAGCCGAAAATTACTCCTTTTTAGAAATATTCCAGTATTTCTTTCTCCCCGGCGGTCTGCACTCTCGCCCACCTCGCCACCAGCCTTAAGGCAAGACCCAGGGACTCCCAGGCGGCCTGACGACATTTCACCCGAGCCCACACGCCTCTGCCCGGGCTGCGGCGCCTCTCTCGCTCCGAGCCCAACTTTGTCCCCGCTGCCCGAAGAGAGCGGAG